GAGAAATTGTGTATAGAGGAATTTTAAAAGCATCCCGCGTCAGTCAATCCCTTCTTTGCTAAGAAATGGAAAAAAAATCAAAGACGAGGGGCAAATTTGGTCTTGAAATTTTTTTCCTTTTGGGAAACTAATACATGCATTGAACTATAGACTGACTTAGCTACGGGTGGATTTTATCCGCTCAAAAAAAAAAAAAAGAGTGCGGATTATTACTATTTTTTATTTTAGTTTGAGAAGAAATTAAAGGAAAAAATAACATAAAAAATATATGTAAGGCACACAAAAATATTTTTTTTATAATTATTAATAAAAAATAAAATTTTTAATATTAAAATGATCCCTCTTTATTAATAATTACAATAAAATATCATGTATAGAGTATTAAATTATTATCTCAAATAGTATTATAATAATATTAATCCATAAAAGTTTGATTGAATTAATATTTATTGTTTTAAAATTTTTTATTTAAAATCAACATCTAAAATTTAAATTTTGAGATTGACATTTAAAAAAAGAATAATGATTTAGGAATAATTTGTTATATTATTTTTTATATAATTTTTATATATTATTAAATAAATAAATATATTTAATATTATGAGACTTATATAAATAAAAAAAATTAATCATATAAATAACATATTAAATTATATAAAAATATGAAATAAAAAATTATTCCAAAATCATCTACTTCGGATAAGTCATAAAAGAAAAACTAGTTAATACCCCGGGCATCGCCCGGGCCGTGAAATGAAAAAAACAATAAAAATTTAATAAAAATTAATATATTAATAAAGAAGTAATTAATAAAATATTATTAAAATACATATATAATGTATTGAGGCCTTAATACACAAAAAAATCCAACAATAGAATTCATTGAAAAAATAAAAAAAAAAACTTTCAAATATTAAATTTAAGTAAAAATAAAAATGTTGATACATAATAAAAAATTTTAAAAAAAAAACATACTAAAAACAATAACATTACCTCTCCTTAAATGCCAAAACTTCAGGAATATCATAGTTATTTATAAAGATTTTAGTATTGAAGATGATGTTGAAAATCTCCATTACACCTAAATAAACCATCAAAAAAATTATATAAAACTTTGAAAATAAAATCTAAAAAAAATACTAAAATTAATAATTAAAAACGTAAGAGTAAAACCTCTCCATGATTTCATCTTTGCAAATTAAATGACGAAAATAACAGATTCATTGAAGCTTTTATCAATAACTGAACACATCTCAATATCAATAGCAAAATTTTCCCAAAGAGTACAAAAAAACTTATTATCACTGTTTGAAAGAAAAAAAAATAAATTGAAAGAAATATAATGAGAAATTAATAAAAAAGCAGACATTCAAATGAAAAATATCTTAACTCATCAAGTTCAAATGAAATCATATTTAATGAAAAACCATTTTTTG